AGGTGACACTGATACTTTATTATGGTGTAGTATTTAAATACATGCCTGAGAAACACATAATATTGGCCCTTTAACATATGTAYGTGGAATATGAAGCATGTTGAATTCATAAAGTGTGCATTAGGGTCAATATGTTCAATATATATATATATTTTTTATTTAAATCATTGCCAAATTTTTTATTTAATTTTGTTTAAACCCTGATATGTGGTTCTATGGGTTGAGTAAAATCCTGGGACTGTAATTTGCTGACTCCTGTTTAAATGTCATCCTTTATTTTAATTCACCCATTCAGCAAAAGCAATCTTCAGAATTTAGTTGCACTTGAAATTTTAGCCCATAGGCCCAAAGCTGACTGCATAGACATTGTTCATGATCAGCCAGAACATTATGGCCACATCTGATTAAAATAGGTCTTCATCTTCCCATGTAACAGCAAAGAATACCTAAAGGAGTTCTTGAGCATTCGGTTCTAGAATGTTAGCAATAGTTTCTGTCTGGCCCTCTGGGTTGGTGGTGGGGTATCTCTGTGGATGTGACTTACTTCCTAAAGGTGTCATCACATTTCATCATATTTCTATCTGGGACAATTGGAGCTCACGTGAATATTCTCTGTCATATTATTTGAGTTGTTTTTTCCTCTAAGCTGTCCTGCTGGTTTTCGGATACAGTGTGTGTTTTGGTTGAAGTCAAATGTCAAAGTATGTTTTATGTGAATGCCTTGATGTGGAGTTTCTTTACAGAACACACTACAGTGTAACAGTGAGCAGTGTTCTTCACTTTCCCATTCAGAGGTCGTAATAATGGCTGAGTTGTGTACTCAATTTGAGGAAACCACATTKTTTAGGCCTTGAGTTCTGTAATTAGTTGTCATCCCCTTGTGATTTTCCTGCCCAAAGTAAAGGATGGTTTTACACAAACTCACTTGATTGTCACTCAATGCAAGCGTTTTTCTGGATTTGCTCATTGCTATATCTTATTATAACTCAAACAGGTCAGATAAATACATGAATGAGTTGTGTAAAGTAYTGACTTTGTGCTCATATTTGATTAAATAGTAATTTAAAAATATGGTCTTGTATTGGTTATTGTGTCATTTTTGAAACATGATGCATACTTGAATAGATACACTGCAGTAACAAAACAGGTTTACACCACAAACTGATGCTGACAAGATGATTTCATCTGATTGTTTAAAGAAGAATTTTAAATCACTGATCTTTTGTTGAAGCCTCGGAAAATCTTCAAAAGTCATTTGGCTAAGGGGATGCTTCTGAAAAAGTCATTTTGCAGAAAATAAAACACACGAAGAAAATGGAAAATATTAATACTTCTCTGCAATGGTCCGATTCAATAATCTATTTTTCTTTCTGACTTGCAGGCACAGTTTTGGTGGAAAACATGCAGATTAATGGCCGTTCTCAAGATCCAGGCAGAACCATCTCCTTGACGCTGCTTGAGAACTACAACTATTGGGTGATCCTGGATCCAGCAAAGCAGAGGCTTTACCTGAACAGCACTGGGCGTGTCCTGGACAGAGATGTGAGTGCAGAAATAGTAAATAATGGGTTTTGATATGTTCAGTGAATAAGATTTTAAACTGTGCCTGTAGCGACAAATACCTGCAACATTTACTTGTGACATAAAATAAAGACAAATTGGTGTATTTCAGGTAACTTTACCATATTAAAAGTGTGATTAGTAAATAAATAAATGTACTTAACTGTAAGGTTGGCAAGATCTGTTCAGAATATGTAAATTTTGGCTCCACAGCATACTCAGAAAACCTGCCGTGCATACAGAACAGCCTAAATGGTACAGTATAGAACATGAGATATCAGGTTCAAAGGAGTTAGCACATTAAAGGCCATTTTAAAGCATGTGGCTAGATTAAATGGTTTAAGTGCAGTGAGGTAGATTTTATGTAAGGCTATTGATGAGAATGCTCAGAAATATTGATAGGACAAATTACTGCAGAGAAGGTACAGAAACAGTTGAGGGTTAGGTGGTCTCACTGGCAGTATGCACTGCTTTTAGCATTTAAGTAGACCACAGCATCATTTTTATATGAAGCCTCTGTAGGAAAAGTGCTTGCTCAGATTAAAGATATTTCAATCAATATTCACATTTTCTCTCAGCATCATGATGCACTCATTATTATTTAAAAGATAATTGATCAGAAAAATTGTGGAACACTGCCTTTGTTGCCTTTTGTCATTGAGAGATGCAGTTGTGCTTTAGAAATGGTTAGATTCAGACGCTTTTACTGTCATTTATCATGACTTAAGCTGTTCCCAGCCAGGAAGTGAGAGCAACAAGCAGCACAACAAGTAGCATTTTCTTTTCTGTCTTTCAGCCTCCAAACTCCATCACCTCCATTGTGGTCCAGGTCCAGTGCACCAATGAGCTGATTGGTACAGTCATTTTGCATGAAGTGCGAATAGTCGTGAGGGACAAGAATGACAACACCCCTACTTTTCAGCAACCTCGTTACTATGTTGCAATAAACGAGGTAAGGATAATCACAAAATTTGGTAATCCTGATTGCACTTTGTTGGTTGGTTGCAAATACAGTATTTACCCTTTTGTTTGTTTTYAGCCCATTCATCTAGTTGTCTGTCTGGGCAGGATCCATTAAAGCAATGTACTGAGATGCGTTTTGTTTTCAAACATGCATTTTTAATATCAGTGATATCATAGAGAGTATTATTTTTTGAATAATTAAAATGTCTACAGAGCTATGGTTTTAATGTAAACCCACCGGTGCCATTTGATTATCTATAAAATGCTCTGGGCCAGACATAAAATTACAGAACAAAAAAATACTCATGCAAAAATAATACCCTTTTGCTAAGATTTTTACAAATGGGTAACAAAAATATACACATATTCTTGTGGTTTTTATTTTATTTTTTTTTTGGATCTGGTCAATGTTGAAGAGATGTTCTGTCAAATAGTAATTAATAATTAGTGCCTTTATCAGCTCTGGCTAAGAACATGTTAGATTAAAGGCTCCTAGTCAAATGAAAGTCTATTTTATCTTGTTTTTCGGGCCTGTTGGATTATTCTTTCTCCACAATGTTAGACTGTTATTAAAGAAAGCTACCTTAGCTAATATTATTCAACATCATACAGCATGTTACTGTTTCTCAAGTCTTTGTTTTCTAAACCAAAACGCCTGTGTAACAACTCAATTATTAAATGAGTCCAGACAATGTATATGCTGTTCTTGAGTTATCTGTATGTATCAATCTGCTTGACAAATGTTGTTTTTTGAGAAAATTATAATAAAAAACAGTGCCATGCAAACAAGATGAAGTTTAAAATTGCATTACTGGATTATTGCATATGCAAATTTGAATTTGTTCAAATAAGTGATGACAATGAAAAAGACAAGTTGTATAAGCCTGGAAAACAATATAAAACTGGTCCTCATTTGGCTAACCATTAGCTTAAGCTGGAGGAAAAATTCTGACACTCACATTTGTATTCTGTTTTGTGACAGAAAATGTATTATTAATTCCACAGATCATCTGTTCAAAAATGACCAGAGTATATCTTAATTTTGCTGTGTTCACAGCAATAGCATTTTCACTCTGTTAATGAATTTTGCAAGTTTTGATAATTTACTTTTTAATAATTGCACTTTATGTGTTTTGGTCTCAGTGGGTAAATACTCACAATGTGATAGGGCTTCCCATTAGTAACAATTTCCTCCATTTTTTTTATTTAACTTTTCTATCATAATGCTTGCAACACTTCCCATGATGTTTAGCATCTCAGCCTCTATCAACTGAACTGTGTGTGAGCACCGAGGGCAGTGATCGTTCAGATTGACCAAATGTGTTTTTGGCGAGATTTATTGCAGTCCAAGCAGCTATTTGAGATGATGTAATGCACATTAAAACTGTGATGGTTGTAAATTTGATAAATTGTACAACCCTACTTTTCTGCGACCAACTGGTACAATGCAGATTGAGATTATTTATCAGTTGCTTATATTAAAACTCATATGTTTTGTAAATATTTAATAATTTCTTGTTGAGTTTTTAGTCTTCATTGTTTACAGATTTTTTTTATTTATTTATTTATTTTTTGGGGTGGGGGCATTGCATGTTCAAACTTCCTGTCAGAGTTGGTTAACGTAGCCGTCTGCAACTTMCCCAGCAGTACAGTGAATCATTCTACAATGCTGTCAACTCTCCTGAACACAGTTCTCTGCCTGCTGCCTGGTCCTGTGGACTTTACTCAGGCCTCAAGGGAACAGCAGTGGTTCTCACACTTGGTTTTTGTTATTCTGTCAGTGCTGCACGAAACCCTTCAGACTGCTGACTCCAACAATTTCCCCTTTTTATGCGTTTTTATATATTAATGGGGCTAGAGTGGCAATAGCGCTGTTTGTATGAAACGGCTCTCTGCTGTAGGTTGATGCTGTGCTCACAGGGGGGCTATTAAAGTTGTTGACTTTTTATGTATACGCTTATTCATTTATTTCTCCACACTTTGGTTTTTCCCCAGCTGACGCCAGTTGGAACAACCATTTTTACCGGCTTCTCGGGAGATAATGGTGCCACAGACATTGATGATGGGCCCAATGGACAGATAGAATACAGCATCCTTTATAATCCCAATGATCCGGTATGGACAAGTTGCACTATAATAAAGAACCTTTACACCATTGTAAATTTCCTCAGCTGTCGTGACTTATTACTGTGCCTTTTCCTGTTTTTTTTTCTTCTTCTTCTTCTTAAGGCATCTAACAGAACAGTAAGAGTTGGAAACACCCTTTCAGGAAACATTTTACTAGCAGAGAGACTAAACTATGAAGACAAAACACGCTACCTGGTTTTGGTTCAAGCCAGCGTAAGTGAACTCATTTTCACATTTACGACTCCTTTTTAAATACATATTGTGGTGGAACTAATACTTTTATGTTTAAGCAAGTAATTCATGACATCCTTTAATGACCTAGGTTTTCATGACATTCTGTTCATCTGCAGATAGAATGATTAAAGTCAAACAAGATTTGCTAACATCAATAATCATTCTTAGACATCACTTGTGTTTATCTTTGTGTTTTCCATTGACCTTGTATGAAATCTTGCTAAGATGACAGAATGGTGTTTGTTAATATATATGAGGCCTCTCAAGAAACAGGGTTCAACAGTAGTGTGGAGAGACTGACAGAGAGAAGCAGAGTCACAGAGACAGGCCAGGTTGTTCTCTGTGTTTCCTGTTGTTGCAATAAAACTCAGCTGATCATCCCACGGAGTATCTTCATTCTTGGACCACGTATTTCTGTTTTTGTTAAATAAATATTGCAATAACAGTTGGCGTTGTCGCAGAGACCACTAGGAGATCGACGGACCAAGGCCACATTGCAGGTGGACTGATATGAGTAAGCAAGGACTGGACTGCTCAGGACCATGACTCCAGCTGGATGAAAAGAACCTTTTTATGGTAAATTGTTTTAACAACAGAGATTTGCTGGTGACATTGTGATGGATGATCTTGAATAAGCAAAGAACACTGAATTTTTATTTTTGGCTGTTGAAGAACCTGAGAAGATTTTTGAAACATCAACTGCTAAGAATGAGTACAGAACAGCTTCAAGATGCCTCCTTACTTTTCCAAAGAGGATTTCTGCCAGCTTCTCCAAAAGGTGACGGTGTTGGAGCTCAAGATTCATCGTCTGGAAGAGATGGTAAATGCTTTGGAGGACTCAACATGTGTTAAAATGGGTGAGAAGGCTGAGAGGAGAGATCAACATGGAGAGGAGATGGAAGCTGCTTCTGAGTGTAAAACTGTATGGAACTCTCTTTGTGCCAGACCAAAAAATCTCTCAGGAAGGATTCAGCTCTTAGATGACATCGAATGGCCAGAATTACAGAGAAATGCCTTTTCTCCTCCAGCAAGGAGAAGAAAGCAACAGGCTGTAATCAAAACAGCTGATAATGGCCAGAGAAAAGAAGCAGTGTTTCTTCAAAACAGATTCACACCACTGGAAGAAACAGGAGAGTCTGATCAAAGTTCCCTATTTGATCTCATTGAGGGATCTGAGACCAGATCCAGCTCAAAGCCAAAGCAWGTCCAAAAAGAGACTTTCAAGAATCAAGAAATGCTGATCATCACAGATAAAATGGTGAATGAGATCAGATGCTTCTGGAACAAGAAAAAGGTAAAAGTTCTGAGTTTTGCTGATAAAGTCTCTGACCTCACAGAGAAAATTCTGCAAACAACAGCTGAGTATCCCACTCTGAAGAAGCTCATCATTCATACAGGAAGTGATGAAGTTATGGATCGACAGTCAGAAATCCTGAAGAAGAATTTTATTCTGCTGCTGAATGCAGTTAAAAATCTCAACATGGATGTGTTCCTCAGTGGGCCCGTTCCTACAGCCAGAGGAGGGGCTGAGAGTTTCAGCAGACTGTTGGCTCTTAATGGTTTTTTGGAAAAGTCCTGTGTTGACCACTCTGTGAGTTTTATGGACAACTTTGATCTCTTCTGGGAAAGAAAACACCTCTTCAAGTCTGATGGAATGACTCGGAATCAAACTGGAGCACAGCTTCTGGCTTCAAACATGAAGTATTTCCTGAACAAAATTCCGGCTGGAAACAAACAGGACAAACCACAACAGCTGACGTCTGAAGGACAGCTGGAGAAAACTGAGATATCAGTGGAACACATCGTGCCAGTTACTGATAAGGAGACTGCTTCAGAATCAGAACCAGAGAGAGAGGAGTTGCTTCAAGCTGCAGAACCGGAAGAACAACTGGATTCATCAGCACCACAAACAGAGGATCTCTTGGACTCTGAGACCCCAACAGGACAGCAAGTGGGATGCCCTCTCCTGGAT